GGATGACACGCTTCACTTTCCCGTATTTTCCCAGCACCAACAGTTTGATCACCATCTGTTGCCTCGGATGGAAGATTGTACACTCGCGCGTATTGAACGTTGCCCCCCGAAAGCGACAACCGTACCTCCACTGCCTTTTCATAAGTATAATGAAGTACTTAATACTAATATGTATTATAGAATAAAACAAGTATTCCGAGTATACTATTCTTAAAGGATTAATTAATAAAATATTAAGGTGATTCCTTGTTGAGTCCACAAATGGCCGCCACGTAGGCTATACATGCACTTCCACTTCAAATTTTCAATTGCGCAAATCTCGGAGATCGGTGCCCCATTTCACCTGAAATTTCTGTTAATCCACGTTTGCTGCACTACAGCATACAGTAGTGCAGCAAACGTGGATTAACAATTTAAATGTTGCACGTGCCGTAGAAGCTGATATTTGTGCACTTAAAGTTTCGAAGTGGTTACGAGAATAAGCATGTCACAGCGAATCACAGAGTAATGAATTAAGAATCAAGAAAAATAATGGATCTATCAATAATATACTTTCATCATATGCTATATCATAAAGTGATCGATCACCTTAAGTCTTATATTGACATTCATTAAGCATCTCCCTCAACTAAAGAATGAAGTACTGGCTTTCTTTCGAGGTCGTACACCTAAGGCAGGGGTTTTCAAGCTTTTCTTGCCACGGTGCACTTTTTTTTTATCATACCATCAATTTTGGAAGAATAATGAGAAAACATGTTTTCGAGCTGCTAATATTCCACACTATTTTCAGACTTCTGCACCGAAAAAATTTCTGAAATTAATTATCGCGTAAAATCTTCCTTCGTTTAATTTTGAGGTATACTTAGCATAAACAGCGAAATCTTTAACAATCTTGCATACAGTATTGCTAATTTATTTGATATTGCGCTCAAGGTGAAAATGGATCGCTTTAAAATGACTCACTTTATCGATTTTTTACAAAATAACGCAGCGCTCAATCGAAAAAAACAATTCCGTGCAAAATTAAAGAACTAAAATTTCTATCTCTAGCAATTTTCACAAGATTGATTTATTGTTTAAATTTTCTGTAAACCATTTTCTAAGTTCGATTTTAGGACCACAATCATAGTGGTCGCTAACTTTTTTCATCAATTACACAAGTATTGCGTATGAAAGGTCATATTTCACTCCCGTAGATAGTTTCAAAATATTGTTAGGAATATATAGAAAAACCATCAGCACCTTCAGCAGGATCAAGCTCACGTGTGACGTTTTTCATTCGCAATAATTGATGTATATTGTAAGATATCTTTTGGTATTTCAATTCGAAATATTTTTGTAAAAATTATCGATAGTTGAAAACGGATGCTATTCGACAATGTCATAATTGCGTTATCACAAGAACTCCATTATGAAAGTGCTAGAAAATAAATAGTAAAAATATTTCAAAATTGAGAGTATTTCTAAGTCGTGTTGGAAACGCGTGTATTTGTGAAATAATAAAAACAATGCAAGTGTGTGTATGTGTAAGCTAATTGAAGGATACTCTGTGTATTTTCAGCCTATTTGTCGAAGGTATTCTGATATATCTTGGTATTTTTCAAGATAATTTGATAATTCCACGAACTTCGGCATAACTTCCCTGAACTTCGGCAAAACTTCCCTGAACTTCAGCAGAACTTCCCTGAACTACAGCATTTTTTTTTTAATTCTTTATTAAAGAGATTTTTAGCCTTAGGCTAGTTCATCTATAATGAACTACAGCAGAACTTCTCTGAACTTCGGCAGGACTTCACTGAACTTCAGCAAGAGTTCCCTGAACTTTGACGGGCCTTCCCTGAACTACGGCAGGACTTCTCTGAGGTTCGGCAGGCTTTCCATGAACTTCATCAGGACTTCCCTGATTTCCAAGAATTGAAATTAAAGGACTTCCCTGAACTTCAGCAGCCCTTCCCTGAACTTCGGCAGAAATTCTATGAACTTCAGCAAGACTTCCCTGAACTTCAGCAGGACTTCCCAGAACTTCGGTAGAACTTCTCTGAACTTCGGCAGAAGTTCTCTGAACATTGGTCGGACTTCCCTATAGTTTGGAAAAAAAAACTTCTCTGAAATCTACAGGACTTCCCTGAACATCAACAGAACTTCTCTGAATTTCCGCAGAACTTCCCTGAACTTCAGCAAGACTTCCCTGAACTTCGGCAAGGCTTCCCTGAACTTCGGAAGGACTTTCCTGAACTTCGGAAGGACTTCCCTGAGCTTTATCAGGACTTCACTGAAGTTCAGCAGGCCTTCCCTGAACTACGGCAAGACTTCCCTGAGCATTAGTAGGACGACCCTGAACTTGGAATCTTGGAATTGAAGTTGTCATTTCAGTAGTAGAATTAATATAATTATACAATAATATTGTGTTTACGAATAAAAATTTCAATACTTCCCATTTTTCTAATTTGCAATGCTTGTTGGTATTAATGCATTTTGAATTTGGGTGTGGTTTGAACGAGTGTGGATTCAGTATCAACGGAAAAGCATTGACTTTCACCTTAAATTTACACGAAATATCGCCTTAATTTATGCCAAATTTAGCGTTAATTTTATATGCGCTATATCTCACAGAAATTTACATGAATTTTTCAAACGGTGTGCAATCTCATAAGAAACCATATAAATTAACGAGAATTGAATGTACAAACACAAATTTTATCTCAAGATTAAGGTCATTTTGGTTTCAAAACTATATTTGCAGTCTCAAGGTTCGTTCGGTATTTTAAAGGAGTTGTTTTTATGGGAATAATTCATGGCATATTTGGATAATTTTGGCGTTTTTTTAGTCATGTGTTTGGTGTATTTTGATCATTGTGACTTGTTCATTGTCAATATTTTCAAATGATTCTGACATTTTTACAGCAATATTTATAGACTATTTTAAAGTTTTTGAAGCTACATTGGTGATCTGAAGTGGTTTTGAAGTTTAAGGACATTTCGTTAAGGAAATTTAGGCAATATTTCACATGTAATGGTGGCTAGTTTATTTTTTAAATTTTTGGTAATTCAAAGACATTAGGATCATTTTCTCAGGGTATTTGTTTTCAGATTTAATAGAAGTAATGTTATTTTGAACTCAATTTTTTGCAAATTTTGGAATTTTAGGGTTATTTTAACGTCGTCACTTTAACTAAGCATCCATGAATCTCACTTTATTGATCAAATTATTCTGCTTCTTCGCATTTCAAACTAATTGCTTATCGAATATTAGCTTATTGCATTCTCTCAACTTAGCGTTCTAGACGCACTTCCACAGTTATTAATTGAGAGCTTTCTATGCATGTACCATTTTTGAATTAGTATAATTGTGTGGCAAGGATAATCATACTCTATGTCCAGGGAAGTCGAGAAATTTTCCAACACGAAAATTCCTACACCGGACCATAAATCGGACCCAGCCACCTCCAGTATAATCTTGCTGAATAAGTCAAGGATAACCAAGAATTTGTTAAAGTAACTATAATTCATTTTACTTCGATGTAGCAGTTTTAAGCTATTTGGGCGATTGAAATATCAAAATTTTGAGTGGTTATGGCATTTTCTGCGTTCTTTAAAAAATCAGTTTTGAACAACTTTCGTGGATTTCGAAGTGATTTTTTTCAGCATCGTAGATGATTTAACACAGTTTAAGATTATTATAAAATTTTCAACTTTGGGTTAGTCATCCGAAATATCGTGAACCCAATGGTGGTCAACTTGCTTACCAGCAACACAATTTTCACCGAATTCGCAATAATTCCTGCTTAACAAAACAAATTTCCATTCACCCAAATAAAAAAGCTCACCAACCAGCATTATCAATAAAGCCGGCAAACAAATCAACCATGAAAAGCCGTACTGTCGGTCATTACCGGACAAGCGAATTGAGGCTTTTCTCCATTCACCATCATCAGCATCCAGAGCACATCGTCATCATCGCCGCCACGTCGCCTGTCGGTGTTATTTCAGTAAGCATACAAAAAATGGCCTTTTTCTACACCGACTGACAACGACCTCCACCATCCGCTGCCATTCTGAACAACAAGCTATGGCAAGTAAGGCAAGGGCAGAAAAATAAATTTCCCTCTTTCGTTAATTTCCTCCTTCGTCGGGCGCCGAAATGCCATCATTACTGGGCTTTTCTCCACGCTGGATGGTCTAGCTCCGAGCATTTTCGGTTTTCATTTTCAGTTAAGCAACGAACCGTCCGTTGTCGTTTTTCGATATTGGAGTCCTCCGGCACCGTTTGCTTTCAATCTACTCGACACTTCAAGTGGAGAGTATTCATTAAGATTTTCCTTTCTCGAGGGGTTTTCATTTGGATGGTGCACCTATCGCTACCATTCACAGGCCCGCAATCATTCGGTTTACCGTTTTTGAAAGAGCGCACAGTTGCAATTGGCTACTGAAAGAAATCGATCGATCGACTGAGCTTTCAGTCGATGTAATTCAATAAAAAGAAAGGAGTCGTCCAATCACACTTGGGAACCACCCACGAGGAACCTTATCACTTATCAGCATTAACAACTAGAGATAGAACCTCAGAAAGTTTTCTGACGATAGAACATGCGTGTTTGGAATTTAATCGAACAAGACTTGTACACACGCTGCAAGCCCAAAGTCCTCCACAGATAAGCAGAATCCAGCCAACCAACGATTGATTGATCGGAATCGGATCTGGGAGTGTCCCAATTCCATATCCACGGCAGCACACATTCAGCTTGTGTGAGTAACTTTCGAAGAGACCCAACATTTTGCCATTCATGCAACGAAGTCACTTTACAAAATGTTGTGAAAATAAGCAATGATTCGGCACGGGGCAGCAAAATTTACAGCTAGTCCGAAATCATCGGATTGTGATTGATTTGCTGCAATCCGGTGGTCGTTATAAAAACCGATTAGCAAAGCCGTAGAACGGTCAGTTGAGCTTTATCTTTTACGAAGTGTTGAAGTTGATCGAGACAAAGTGAAGGTGAATTTTCAGGAGAACAATCATGAAAGGTGAGCAGGATTATTTATTGCTTCAAAAGTACGGAGTGAAACCGTTTTACTTTTTAGAATTCAAGGAGACGTTGTGGCTTGCGGTATGTGTCATTATTGCGAATAGTGGCTTTGTGCAGAGTCAAGATCCACTAAATCCATGTTTTGGAATCGTTGAACTCGTGAGGATTCCGGACATCGAAGACTGCACTAGGTTCACCCTGTGTATAAGTGGTGAAGCATTTCCTCAGCAGTGCAGTCCAGGATTGATTTTCGATGTAATCACCGATAGTTGCAACTTGGAAGAAATATCTATATGCATTCAGGATGTCTTGACTCCACCTACTCCCGGTGGCACAGATGAATCCACTGTACCCACTGTAGGTCCAACCGATCCAAACACGACTCCGCCAGGTGGTGAAGTGACAACAGAAGGAGGAACGATCCCAACAGCGCCAACAGTGCCAACAGCGCCAACAGTGCCAACTGATGGTACGCAAGCTCCACCAGCTCCAACTCCGGGACCAACGATTCCAACAGCACCTACGCCAGGTCCCACACCAGCACCTGTTCCGACACCAGCACCTGTTACGACACCAGCACCTGTTCCGACACCAGCACCAACCCAGGCTCCTACACCCGCTCCAACAGCTCCAACACCCGCTCCAACACCCCCTCCACCAGCCCCAACACCCGCTCCAACACCCCCTCCACCAGCCCCAACACCCGCTCCAACTCCTGCACCAACTCCTGCACCAACGCCTGCACCAACTCCTGCACCAACGCCTGCACCAACTCCTGCACCAACTCCAGTACCAACGCCTGCGCCAACTCCTTCTCCACCTACCGATGGGGCACCACACTGTCCTCCAGGAGCAATATTCTACGCACCGCATCCGGACTGTACCCGCTTCTTCCGCTGTGTCTTCGGTACCCTGTTCGTGCTGGATTGTCCCCCGAACCAGCACTGGAATCAAGCTCGGGAGTACTGTGATCACGCTTGGAATGTGCCGTGCTAATTGATAGTGTAAGAATTCATCGAACTTAAATAAATAAACTAAATATACAGCACCGACCGGTTTGAACCTCTATCTCCTAGGCATAATTTTCATAGGCGTCTTGTAGTGAAACTTTTGTGAGCTTTCGCCACCTACATTTCGAAGTGAAAACTGTTATTTGTAAAATTCCCCAGGGGAAACAGGCGATTTTTGGGTCAAATCGTTCCATAAAGCAAAACTAATCTTTTCCCGCGGAAACTGTTGCTTGACTTGCGTAGGAATACATTTTTGGTAACTAACTGTTCTTCTTCCGGTGAGGATTTTGAATTTGTTACCGTGTACCCATATCTCAGTGTCAATTAGAGGGAACTAGAGAGGATCTAGTATAAGAGAGGAGCGGACTGGCTGGTTTTGAGTTAAACGAACTGTCAAAGCCAGACCCAATCGAGCAGCGTCTATCTTGATTGCATTGACAGTGTTGCTAGAAATCACCTAGGCGTAGGTTGCCAAAGCATTTTGTTTTGAATCCGCTCCTCTCTTATACTAGACCCTCTCTAGAGGGAACTATTGTGCTAACAATGACGTTTATATAAGGTCTGGGTCAACAGGCAGCTTACTGGTGTTAGGAGCAAAAATATTGTAAACATTGCTGAGCACTCAAATGACGACGTCACTACCACAACATTCCATATTGGGAACAGTGAGATTGAAGTCACTGCCAACCGATGTTGTATTTATATATTCGTACATTACAATTATGGACGCTCTCGAAAGGGGGTGCATGAATTTAATATCAAGAGCCACACGTGAAAAGGGCATACAAGCTACGGCAAGGTGATGGACTTTCGGGTCTGCTATTCAACATCGCGTTAGAAGGTGTGATCAGAAGGGCTGGGATAGACACGAGTGGCACGATATTCAGGAAGTCCATCCAGCTCCTTGGCTTTGCCGATGACATTGGCATTATGGCACGGAACACGGAATGATGGCGGAAACGTTCATCAGACTGAAGGCTGAAGCTAGACGGATTGGACTTGCCATCAACGGATCAAAGACAAAATACATGAAAGGAAGAGGTTCTAGGGAAGACAATGTTAGGCTCCCACCCCGAGTTTATATTGACGGTGACGAAATCGAGGTGGTCGATGAATTCGTGTATTTGGGCTCACTGGTGACCGCCGAAAATGATACCAGCAGAGAAATTCAAAGACGCATTATGGCAGGGAATTGTGCCTATTTTGGACTCCGGAGGACGCTCTGGTCGAATAAAACTCGCCGCCGCACGAAGTTGACTGTCTACAAGACACTGATTAGACCGGTGGTCCTCTACGACCACGAGACCAGGACTATGCTCGTGGAGGACCAACGCGCCCTTGGTGTTTTCGAACGGAAGGTGTTGCGTACCATCTACGGTGGAGTGCACATGGATGACGGAACGTGGCGGAGGCGAATGAACCACGAATTGCACCAACTGCTGGGAGAACTATCCATCATCCACATTGCAAAAATTGGGCGACTACGGTGGGCTGGGCACGTCGTAAGAATGCCGCACGACGACTTAGTGAAAATGGTTCTAGAAAGCGACCCAACAGGAACAAGAAGAAGAGGCACGCAGCGGGCAAGGTGGATCCACCAAGTAGAAGGTGACCTGCGGACCCTTCGCAGACTACGAGGCTTCGCAGTCCACGAGTAGAGTGGAGACGATTTCTTCGGACAGCAGAGGACAACAAGGCCTTAGCCTGATTGGTAAGGTAAGGTAAGTAAGAGAGACAGCTCCCACACCTGGACCCTACCTATTGACCCATCAACTCATGAACCGAGGACCAACGGCTATATGTCTCAGAACATCCCGGCGACGCTGACTGGGATTGAACCCAGGCCTGCTGGGGGTGCGAGGGAATCACGCTTATAAAAAATAGATAAAAGCTATTGAACACTCCTGCTAAAAACGCTCGATAATGATTTCTCAATCATTAAGTTGACTCCTTATTTATAATATGAGCAGTTCTCGGACAGCTAAAAGCTATTAAAGAATCCAACTGAAAATGCTGAAAAGTTATTTCACTCACCTGTAGTTAACTACTTCTTTGTAACATGAACATTTCTTTGCCAGATAAAAGTAACTGAATGCTACAACTAAAAGTGCTCGAAAAATGATTCAACCATTTAATCATTCGACCTTTTGTCCAATTCGACAATTATTTCCATTAAATTGCATTCGCCGCTTTCTTCATTTGACTTTTTGTCCATTAGATCTTTTGCCCATTCGCAGTTTTGTCTTTCAACCTTTTGTCAAGGATTCTTCCCCAAGAGCCATGACCGTGAAAGTCCCTCATACAAGAAGGTGCAGGTAAACCTTTGCAGTAGCTAATTTGATGCCAAGCTGTGCAAAGCACCAACCAACCGAATGTCAAAAAATCGATTAAACTTCCCGCTATTGAACCCCATTCCTTGCTCCCACCTTCATAATTAAACCCATTCCTAGTGATCAACAAATATTTGACTCGAAAGTGGAAGTGCGTAATCACGAAAGAATGCCTTGTGGCTAGTAGTGAATCAGCTCGCAGCGACAAGGCAGCTTTCTTACTGTGATACTTTCCGGAGACGAACCAGCCTTGGGCTGAAAGTCTCCTTACTAAAGAAACAACATCAACTGTGATACTGTGTTTACTCGGACTAGAGAAGTTTTCCCAAGCATATCACCTAATTTCCATCGCCTTATCCGGAAAAAATGGGTTTGAACATCTCACAATCAACCGTGCGACCCCATCCGCAGGTAACAGAGTTAGAGCAAGCTTTTCACGTATTATTAATTGAGCACCTCCAGATTTCCCAGCGTTCCCTATAATTACGACGACGCGATTGAATGTTTATTTTGACTTCGACCGCACACCATCACTGAACGACGACAAGAACAACAACAACGTTATTTGAATACACCCCACCTCCACCCTCGCAATGTGTAGAACTCAAACAGCACTCAGCCTCAGCTATATGCACACCATGTGACTCACGCTCCTAATAGGGGTTGGGTAAAATCAAGAACCTAGCTCGGAACTCTTTTTGCCATGACAACGCCGCACACACCCAAACACACGGTACGATTCGACGCGTGCAATGGGTGCCAATGTCACTTCGACAAAAGAAGCCGACGAGACGATCCCGTCGTCGTCGTCGTCGTCGTTGCTGCTGGTGATTTTCACACCGATGTTGATATGTTATGCCATGGTAGAAAGCACAATGAGTGACTTTACGTGTGCATTTGTATGTAGTTTTCCTTGAGTTGACCCTAGACAGTGGGCTGTCTATGATGGCTACCAAGCCTTTGGGGATTTTCCTTTTTAGAGAGTTTTATAGATTCAAAGTGTTTTTTATGTTACTTCATACGCGAAGTTAACGATTTTCAGAGTTGGTTGGAAATGCTAACATGAAGCTTTAGTGTGATGATTTATTAGCTAGAGAATGATCTTTTAGAAGAATGTAGGTGGATAGTTCCGTTAGAGTACGGCAGTATGAAAATTGAATAGAAGTTGAAAATGAGCGAAGGGCCATTAAAGCGACAGTTTTCAAGATGACGCACATTTTTGCCTAGCCCGTACGATGTACGCGGGGACTTGAAGTATGTCTCCAAGTCCACAGGCAAAAATGTGCGTCCCTCTTGTTGCTCATAAACTGACTGCGGCTGTGGAATAGTTCTAACATCGAACATCGTACGGGCTAGGCAAAAATGTGCGTCATCTTGAAAACTGTCGCTTTAATGGCCCTTCGCTCATTTTCAACTTCTATTCAATTTTCATACTGCCGTACTCTAACGGAACTATCCACCTACATTCTTCTAAAAGATCATTCTCTAGCTAATAAATCATCACACTAAAGCTTCATGTTAGCATTTCCAACCAACTCCGAGTTTTATAGATTTTTCTCCTTTAGCTTACTTAAATCTTTGGTTTTTATTAGTTAGGTAGGTTCCGATTCAACACATTGTAGTTTCATTTTTATACCTATGATCTTGACTTTTTTTTTACCTAGGGGATGAGTACTTAAGGGGGTTAGATTTTGATAAGTTCTTTAGTGGGAATGACACTGATGAAGACTGCACATTGTAGTCGAAATACGTATCTGTCAAGGATACCAAAATTAATTAAGTGGAATTAAATGGAAGATAACCTTTTTTTTTTGTTTTATTTAGCATTCCGCTAACAACCCAATTTCATTACTTCATTATGTGCTAACCTCTCAGTATCTTCTAACTGTCGCATATAACACATAAAAATTGACTTTCAGTCGCTAACCTAAATCGAAAATTAATTTGATGATAAATCATCACTATGGCCCGGTGGTCGGAGGTGAGGCCAGCAGCTCATTGCTCTATTCATACTGCATTGGACATCCCGTATCCAACATGTGTGATGTAGAACAGAGACGAGTTGTGTTTGTTCACATCGACCGATACTGAGTGGTTGCGGTACAAGCACATATCGTCGGTAATAGACGATTGTTGTGTATTGAGAACGCTTGCGCAAAAAGACTAAGGGAGGGAAACGGATTCGAAACTCATATGTCATTAGCCAAATACATCCGTAGACCATAGGTCCACCGTTGTATAATTGGCAATGCACCCGTGTACTGAATGGGAATTGTGGGTTCGAATCCCACCGGTGCCCTTAGATTTTTTCGCAAATTTTCTCACACGCACGTCTCTTGCCGATGATATGTGCTAACCTCTCAGAATCTTCTAACTGTCGCATATAACACATAAAAATTGACTTTCAGTCGCTAACCTAAATTATAAATAATTTATAACCATTATCGGTAAGATCAAGTGATGGTTCGCGTTTATGCGGGAATGGCTTTTATTTCAATCAAAGCCAACAAAAAATAGGTAGGTACGCCAGGTAACGTCAGCCAAATCGTTTGAAGCAGTGCTGTGCATTCAATGAGGTACAGAGAGAGGTGGCGCAGATCGTGAAATAGGGTTGTATTAGTAAACCAAAAAATCAACGTAAACGCAAGTAGTGACGTCACTACTTGCGTGTACTTGCG